TCTTGGTTGGAAATTGTTTTCTTTCAGGATATGAAATACTTCACTCCAAGTTCTTCTTGACTTGTGGGCTTGTATTAAAATAATCTGTCATGATTCTGATGGACTTCCCTTTATAGGTGATCTGTTTCTTTAACAGTTTTTCATATTCTGTTCATGTGCTGAATTTCTGTGATATTGATTATTATATGTCTGTGTGTACATTTATTTTGGTCATGGCTAATTGGAGTTCTATATGCCTCAATTAGAGATGTCAGATTCTTTACCCATGCTTAGGAAATTTTCTACAGTTCTGCGAATAGTCTTTTTATGTTATTTGTGTTGACTTCTGCTTTTTCATTGACTACCTATGAGTCTTATATTATTTTTCCTTGCATCGTCCTGCAGCTGTTGAATTATTTCCTGACCTCTTGTTATTTTTAAGAGATCCTTCCTTTCATGATCACTAGCCGTGATACTGTCTCCAAGGTCTGAAAGTCTGTCTTCAGTTTTGTTCAAGTAGTTTTTCCAGCTTTCAATGGAATTTTTAACTTCCTGGATATCTATTTTAATGCATTTCATTATTCTATTTCTTTCCTACATTGGTCATTCACAGTCTCCACCATTTTACTATGCTTCTCTATTTTTTTTATTTACTCTAGGTTTGCTGAGCAATTCCTTCAATATGGTTGTCATTTCTTTTTTTATCTGAGAGATTAGTTCCAATCTGATTTCCTCTGTAGCCTCATGGATTTTTTTCTTTATTTCAGTTGCTATCATTTCAGAAATTTCAGACATGTGTCTTCCATTATCCTCTATCTTGTTGTCTCCTAGACTTTTTCTGGGTGGGCTGGAGGTAGTAGGTTGCATTTACCTTCTGCATCTTGTCATTTTCTATTTCAATAATTTTTATTTTATTTTCTGTGCTGATTTGTGTAAGTTTTTATAGTAGGTAGCTTTATTTCTCACATCAAGGCCTCTCTAGGAGAAGTCTTTTCTTCAGGGATGTCTTCTGTGTGTAGAAAGGTTTTGGTTTGTATCTGTTCCAAGATCCTACCTTCCCAATTAATTAAAAGTGAGATATTTTTATCTGCTTCATGCAATTCTCAGTCCTTTGGTGCTGGTATATGGTGAGGTTATTACCCCAGAGCTTCTCAGTATTGTTGAAGAAATGAGAACAACTGATAACAACAAATATTACATCCTAAAGTATTATAATTTAGCAATAACAATAGCATCAAGTACAGTTTAGAAAATGACAAACTGTGGTAACTATTAATTTTGTACTTTAAGCCATAGAAGCAAATTCTACAGTTACATAACAGAACCAATTGTAGGGAGCTTGTATGCAAAGTGTTTCTCCTTAGTAGAGTGGTTTTACCCTGAGGTGGGGAAATTTATGAAGGATTGTGAATGAAACATAGATAACTGAAAAGGAAGTAGAAGCAAGGCTAGAGGACAAAGGATGACCAAAAATCTGTCAATGGAGATTGAGCCAGGCATGGTGGCACATGCCTATAAGCCCAGCTACTTAAGAAGCTGAGACAAGAGGATCACAAGTTTGAGGCCAGCCTGGGCAACTTCACAGGACACTATTTCAAGAACTAAACGCCTGGGTGTTTAGTTTAATGCTAGAGTGCTTGCTTAGCATACATGAGGCCCTGGGTTCAGTGTGAAGTACAGGATGGAGGTTGAGAAATTTTCTTAGTATTGTAGAAGCTGAAAGAAGAGATTCTTCCTGGAAGGAATAATAGTATAGTCAAAGCCTGACAATAAGTCACATATGATAAGTTTCAAAGGTATTCCTATTGACTTAGAAGTACAGTAATCATTGAAGTAAATTTCTAGACAACTCTAGTTTAACTTTTATAACACTGATGATATTTTTAGCTTAACCATTTTCATTATAATAGATGAATTTTTTTTGAGACAAGATCTCACTGTGTAGTCCAGACTGGCCTGGAACTCACAGCAATCCTCTTGCCTTAGCCTCCTGACAGCTGGGATTACAAGTGGGCATCACAATGCCTGGCTATAATATCTGATGCTGCACACTGAGTTTATGTAAGTGCTGTAGTAGATTCTTCATCTGTAATTTGGTTTAGCTCTTTGAACAACCATATTTGTTTTTGAGTCAACTGAATCTTAGAGAAATTTAATGAGCTCCTGTTATGGTTCATTTCTGGCTGCCCTCCCAAAGCCTCTTTCTCATAGATTGAAGTTTTCAGAGGTGACTGAATCGTGGGGTCATGATATTCATCAGTGTATTAGTCCAGTGATGAATTTATAGCTAAATATAATGGGAATGAAGCCTGATCAGAGCAGGTAGGTCACTGGGGCTGTAGCCTGGAAGGGTATATCTGCCTCCCTCCTACCCTGATCTCTTGCTGTCTACTTCCTGCCTTCCATGCCACTATTTCTCCTCTACAGTGTCCTTCTGTGATACCATCCTGCCTTGTGGACAGCTGACTATGGACTGAAACTTCTACAAAATGTGAGTCAAAGTAAACACTTCCACTTTCAAGTTGTTGAGATGTTGAGTACTGTGTCTCAGTGATAAGAAAGTAACTAAGATCATTGCTTAAAATTATTTGACTAGTAGGTGGCTACTTGTCTTCCTTCCCTGTTCTATCTAATTTATTGATGCAAGTCTGTTGAAGGAAAGAAAACCACATTATTAATAATTTTGTGTGCGGTAATGGTCACTTTTGTGAGTTTTTACCTCAGTTTATATCTTTTAGAGGTACAAATAGAAATACTGAGATATGAGATTTTGTAATGTATATGCTTCAAAATAATCCAGAAGGTAAATAGGGGGATAGATGAAATGAGATTGGTCATGAGTTGATGTCTGAGGCTGTGTGTTGAGGAAAGAAGAGATCACTACACAATACTCTCTCCTTTTCCAGTTTCTCGTCATTTTTATACTTTTCTATAGTACTGTAGAATAGCACTTTAAAAACGTGTCAGTAAAGTTCTGAGATCTTCTGAGTGGACAGAAGTATATGCACTTTGTATTAACTACACTGGGAACTCAAAAATTTATTTCCGTTAGTTTTTTTTTAATATTACAGGTATCTACACATACCATTAAATAGCCACTCATCATGGGAGGAACTACTGCTCTATGAAACCTGCAAAAAGTAAAAAAAAAAAACAAAAAACCCAAAACCTCAATCTTCCAACTTCTATTTACTGAGGAATCCCTAATTTTGATAGTCTTTATTATCCTATAGGCATCATAGCATTTGTGCAATGACAATTAATTAGCTGAATGACTACAAAAATGCCTGGCTTTAATTGCTATGGCCCATTTTCCTCGTTTAATACAAAGTTGGAAGCTCTTAAATGTACCAGAAATCTTTCTGGATTTGCTGTTGCCTGTTTCCACAGACATTTTACCCTGGAGACATGGTAATTTTACAACTTTTAAATATTTAACACAACTCTAATTATAAATAGTTCTTTTTCAAAAGCGATAGCCAGACTCTTGGCACCAACCACTTCTTGTTATATTGGTGAGGATGACAGCATAATGACTGATGATATGTGTTAGAGTCCTTCATTCCTTTTAATTAGAATTTTCTCTGCATTATCATGCTTTGTAACTAAGCAGCTCATTTCTGACAATGGTTAATGTGATTAGGGCTGGTTTTAAATTTGTCTTTCATCTGTAGAGACAGCCTGGCCAGTCTATGGTAACCTGTATGGTCAGAAGAAGAAACTTTCCTCAAATCTTCCTAGTTCTCCTCTGTTCTTCTTGACCTGGGTTGGTTAGGATATGTGCAGAAATAAAGAAAATAGGGTTATGTGCTCTCAGAAATGTAGGAAAAGGTACAGAAGGAAGAAGATACAGCTTTGGTGTAGAAGCAATGAAAAGGTTAGGGAGGGTAACCATGTGGGGCCATAAATCAGTAGGCACTGAGGCAACAAAGAACTCTGTACATCTGGTTTCTGACTCACCAGTTATTTATTGAGCATCTGCTGTGAGTACAATCCTGCCACTGTGGACAAACACAAAAGATTCCAGAGATTTTTTTCCCTGCCTTCAATCTACTTGGAGGCAGATCTCTACAATTTAACATTCTTGAAGACAAGGACTCATCTCTTTGGTTCACCTTCATATCCCATCGCCTACTACCAGGAAGGTTAGCTCACTATAGTTACCTTCAGTAATGATTTTCCAAGGAATGGGTGGATGAATGAATACAACAATGTGTATCAGTTATGGTCCACTTATAAAATGTCATAGCATCCCCAAATATGTAAACAAACAAGGACATAGTGACATGGTGGTCAGAGTGTAGTGAAGATTAGAGCCAAGTGAAGCTTTGCAAGAGTCAGTCTTGGATCCCATTTTCCCAGTATCTCATGACAAGATAAACCATGATAAAGACTGTGAGGGCTAAGTTGCTGTTAGTAGCAAAACTGGAAAATATATCCCTCAAGATTAAGTGACTGGTAAGTTAAGATGAGTTTCTAACCCTCATAGATTACATGGAAACTCAAAGAATTAGCCACTAAGAATACTGAAAGAGAAGACCAGGTAGCCCTCCTAGAGTCCCATGTGAGCTGGATAAATTTGAGGTGGGATTAATGGTACCTTTTTCCACCATGTGGAGGCCAATTCTGAGCTTTAGAAGTATAAGGAGATGTACTACCCTTTATAGTGTCAAGGAAAAAATGATTTCTGACTATTCTATACATGACTTGAGAGAGATTCATGACAGCTCTATATTCATTACTCTGGAAGACTCAGAAAAGATACTATGGTCTCCATTTAGCCTTTAGATTATGCAATAGAACAAAGTGAAGACTTTGAGTTTGAAACTATAGTTGTTATTTTGGGATCCTGTTGTAAATTCAGTAGGACACCTGACTTAAACTAAATTTGTGGATCATTCTGTTGCATTGCTTTATCTAGAAAGTCACATCATATTTATGTATCACAGAAGTAACATATGTACAAAAAAGAGTTCAGTTAGAGAATTTATGGGGAGTACCCTCCTGTTCTCTCCCCCAACCCTTGCCAGATATTCAAGAAATTGCTTTCCTTCTTAATTCTTTCAGTGAGTATGCAAGGTTTTGTGAAAATGATCTTTTGGTTAATTACAATCATATGGCCAGACATTTCTTATGGGATAATATCATTATTAAGGACTGAATTTTGTCTCTTTGAAATTCATAGGTGGGAATCCTAATTTCTATTGTGACTGTATTTGGATGCAGTACCTTTAAGAAAGTAATTAAGGTTAAGTGAGATAAAAAGAGTGTGTCCTTAATCCAACATGCTAGTGTGTCCCTATCTCCTCCTCAGAAGATAGCAATATGCAGGTAGACAAAGGAAAGGCCAGTTCTGGAAATACCAGAAGAGTAGCTTTCTATAAGCCAGAAAGAGAGTCCTTACAAGAAAATAAGTTTAACTGGCACTTTGATGTTGGATTTCCAGCCTTTAAACCTGTGAGAAAATACATTCCTCTTGCTTAGGGCACCCTACCTTTGGTATTGCATATGTCACCCTCAGCAGAGGAATACCCTGAACTCAATGTAAATAAGTAAAACAAGGCTTTGGCTGTCAATGAACTTACTGCATTCAGTGAAGAGAAAAGACTGATGCACATACAATAGAGAAAATATACTGTTATGTGGAATCCTGCTGAAAGTAACATAATAAAGATAGTAGTTTACCTTAATGGTTAACTTACTGAGCGTTAATCCCTTTTTTTATGAATTGAATTGTGTGCTTCTCCAAAAGATATGTTAGAATATTAACCTACAGTACCCCAGAATGTGATTATATTTGGTAACAGATTCATAAAGAGGGAATAAAGTTAAAAACAAATTATTAGAATGAACCCTAATATTGCATGACTGGTGTCCTTATAAAAAGGAGAAATTTGGATACAGAGAGGAGAAAACTGAGTGAAAGCAGATGGGGAGAATGCAGCCACATAACTGGAATGAGGTGTCTACAAGCCAAATGTCCTAGTCTGTTTCCTATTGCTTTAACAGAGCACCTGAAACTGGGTAATTTACAATGAACAGAGATTTATTTGGCTCACAGTTCAGGAGGCTGGGATGTCCTACAGCACAGCACCAGCATCTGGTAAAGGCCTTTGTGTTTAATCATCCCCTGTCAAAGTAGCAGATCAGGAGAATCCAAGGGCAAAAAGGGAGAAATGGAACTTGCAGCCTCAAGTCATTCGTAGTTAGCAGGGCTTTCATAACTAATCACCTCCTTTAGGTTCCCCTCTTGACATTGGGTACTAAGTTTCCAACACACAAACTTTGGGGGTCACATTCCCACCATAGCATCAAGGAATGCCAAAGGTTTCAGGGCAAGAAAAAAACTGGAAAATGCAAGGAAGAATTTTTCCCAGGAGTCTTCAGAGAAAGCATGGTTGGGCCAACACATTGATTTTAGGCTTCTGGCCTTAAGAACTGTGAGATGATAAATTTTTGTAGTTTCAGCCATCAGGTTTTTAGTGCTGTGTTAGAGCAGCACTAGGAAATGAACACAATCTTTTCCTTAGAACTAGAGAAAGAGCAGTTCAATAGGCCAACTTCAGTGACAAGTCCACAGGAGATTTTAGACCTATGATAGAATGGCTTAGCAATTACAGTGTCAGTTTACTCAGGTTTCCTTACATGGGATGAAAGGGCTCTGCTGACATTGTGAAGTATCTCTAGTGGGAAGAAAATAAAACCTAATAACTTAAAATATCATTTACCATTGCTCAATTGATGCTGTTGAGTGTTTCTGTGACATACACAGTCAGTATAGTGACTACCTGTAAAGCATATACTGTTTTCTCATTTTGCCCCCCAGGAAATGAGTCAGAGAAATTAAATGAGTTGCCTCCTATGCCCTTGTTCACAGAGCTAATGAATCATAGAGTTAGTATTCAAATTAAGGTTTCCTTGAGGTAGGTACTAAAAGGTGAGATGATTTGGGTTAATAAGAGTATGAAGTCTGTGTTGGTTACTTTTCTCTCATTGCTGAGACAAAATACCCAACACCCAAAATTGAGGAAGGGAAGGTTTATTTAGCTTACAGTTTCTGGAGGTTTCAGTCCATGGTTGGCTGGCTCCAAGGCAGAGTGGCACATGGCAGAGGGCGAAAGTTCATGGCGGCATAAAACAGCAAAGGCAAGAGCAAAAGCTGGAAGCAACAGCTGGAAGCGCAAGCCTCTTTCCCTCCCTTACATTGTATGCAAACTACCCACCCAGGGCAGATGTAGCACTCACATCCATAATTCCAACATTGGACCATGAATCAATCATAACTCTAGAAGCCTGCCCCATGGCTGCATGAGACTTTGGGAGGACATTCAGACACAAACCATAACAAAGTATTTCTCAGCTGTGAGAGTAAGCACAATTATTTCCACTACATATATTTCTAGGTTTAGCTAAATGAAAGAGGTGAGAGGGTGATTGAGGAAGGAGGAGCCTGACATAATATAATTGGTATGGACAAGCGTTCAGGGTGGCC